TAACTTCCTGAGTTTTCTTATAGGTGTTTGTAAACTATCCCAAACCTCTTTCATAACCTCACACATGGGCACATGCCTAAATTCTTCCTGGGACACAATCATAAATAACGCATGTAGGGCTTTACAATTCCAATTGCGCTTGTGCAAATTTGATTTTGATCAATTAACAATCGAAGTGAGGGTGATCACACCATTAACGGTGCTACAAGGACAGTACAACCGTTCACCATGCACAACCAAATTCGCTCATCCATTGATTTTAGGAAGGCTCTCATTCTAACTTTTCAATAAGCATAGTTACTACTATCAAAATATGGTGGAACAGATAATGGGCTACTTATCTTAAAGGTTAGGGCCAGGAATCGAAATCTGGGCTCTGATATACTAGAAGGTTTTATTGAGCCAATTTATTTTGACCCAACATGCGGAATTATACAACTAAAAGCCACAAGTCACTTTTAATTATCTTAAATTGTTAATCAAACAAGTCAAATTATCCTATATTGAACTGTCACAGTTTGTAATATAAAAGCAATAAACAACAATACAATTGTTAATGGAGAAACTCAACTAGGTAAAAATTTCGGGACAAAGTCGGTAACTTAGACTATAGACAATGATGAACTTATAGTACAATCCAGCCTAGAAAATCTAATAGATTCACTAATCTATTTCCTGCAATCTCCAAAACTCGTTGGAACATGCTTCACTCACACCTATTCCGATCCTTGGAATTGTCTATCTCCTGTGGATCACCAAAAACGCCTCATTCCTATATTTTTCCTGTACTTCTAGTCCAATCTCCTTCAATTCTTCAGCAACCTCTGAATGTTCTTGAGAAAGTGTCTTCCTGTATGTGTATAGGAAGGGGGTATTTGAATTCTATGAATTTGATGTTTTTCCCAAAGTTGTCGTTATATGAATTCAAGAATGAAAGGATAAATTCAAAATCTAGAATGTGTTCTTGAATATTTGAATGATGTTATGGAGAATGCATACAATAAACAACCACACCAAAATTTGTGTTAGGGTTTAGGTATTTATAATAAAAGGCATTTGGCAGTATGTGTCAGATAAAATTATAGGCGAGCGACAGAGTTTCTGTTTTTGTCGCTCGAGCATCTAATGGGCGATAGGGTAGCGAAAATTTGACGACTCTTTTTCTTTCTTGTCCCAAACTCGAACCCTAACTTACCTAATTCATCTATACATTATTGCAATGTACTTATTGACTTTTACAACTCTTAATTTTAATCATTTTGTCTAAAGAATTGCCAATACAATAAAATCCTACCAAAATGGTCAGTTTCGTAGTGCAGTTTTTTGACAAATTTATTCTCTTTGTTTCGAATTTATCCATCCCCATGTCTAAGTTTGAATCTAGCTTATCATCTTGAAATCTGATCAACAACTTTTGTGCTTTACTCATCAAAGTTTCCTGGAGGTCTGGAAGTCATGTTCTTAAAGATTCAGTTTTGTTCTTGGTCTTTTGTAACAGTCTAGATGAGGTTTTAATGAACTCTTGAGGATTCGAGGCAGCAGATTTTGTGGTATATTCATAGAGAATCATGCATGTTCCTAATGCTTGGATAATTCATTTTAGACATTGAATTCAAATTTTCTTCCTCCCATTTTAATTTGAAGAACCATACCGGTTTTAAAATATCAGAATTAGACAGCAAAGTTGTAGTATGTTGACCTTTATCCATTTCGGGAAAATTCAAACTCACTTGAAATTTTAATTTTTCAGCAGCATCCTTTTGCTATTTTCGGCCACTACAACATGTAGTATGCACTGGCCCTTGCATTCTACTATTTTTGGCTAGCATTGTTTAAGAAATAAAGGCTTTAACGAGTCTTTGTCTTAGATAGGCAGAATTTTGAAACTGGGTTAGCAGCTTAGTTTTGCTATTGAAAATTCAGGATCAAGGTTAGCTAGTTTTAATGAGAAATTATCATTTCATGGAAGTTTAATAAACAAACATGTATAACAAATTCAACCATGGAATTTAAATTTGTGACATTAGTGGACACCGAGAAAAAAAGTTGGGTGACTTAAGGATCTTTTATATAAGATATCTTTGGGACCAAAAAATACATCTTTGATATTTATTATGTGTAATAGTAAAGTCACATTAGTAAAAGCATACAATGAGGTAAACAACGCGAAGTCTAGACATATAAGTCTAAGAAATGACTGCACAAGGAAATTAATCAAGAGTGGAATAATGTCGTAAATTACGTAAGTCAAATAAGACTTTAGCGGATTCTTTAACTGAACTTCTTAATCGAGTAGGATGATGTTGAAACTCTTAAATTTAAAAGATCCACCAATGACGGCAATATTACTTGTAACTACTAAAATAGTAATTCATGGGTTCAAAGTGTATAATAAGTCATTCGATAAATGGATAGTTTCAGCATTATTATTCCCACAAAAACCCTATCATAAGCCAATAATACTCGTTGTTACTTAAAGGAGAGTTGAAATTTAAGCTCTTAATGAAGTTCGATATTAAGTACAAGTATATTTAAAAATAATAAAGATACTAGAAGAACTTCATCTAGATGAACTTCGAGGTGGTGTCGCGTCTATAGAGAGTTAGAGTTTCTCCTTTAAAAGTTCAACAAATAGGATAAGTGTAAGGTCATAAAAGTGCTAAAGGAGTTAATAAACTTGTTCAACACATGAAACTTTTGTCTCTATGTGTGTGTTTTTTTAACCAGCATCATCACAATGAATAACTGATTCAAAGCTATCATGCAACTTGGATTTTCAATGATAATTTGTGAGAATTAAACACCGGTTAGTTTAAATTGAAATATATCTAATCATTATGCGCAAGTGTTGTTAGTTTGCATATGTGATCCACATAATTTTGAATAAGTGGGAGATTTTTGTCATTTTGTTCAAGAATATAATGGAAGAGAGAACTGGGCATGTACTGTCTATGGAGAAAAGGGAAAAATCAATGTTAATATCAAAATAGAAAAAAAAAAAAAAAAAAAAAATGTTAATAAAAAAAAAAAAAAAAAAATGTTAATAAAAAAAAAAAAAAAAAAATGTTAATAAAAAAAAAAAAAAAAAAATGTTAATAAAAAAAAAAAAAAAAAAATGTTAATAAAAAAAAAAAAAAAAAAAAAAAAAAAAAAAAACTGGCGAAAGAAAAATAAGCCCAAGCAATCGCATAGTCTATAGCTAGGCCATTGCCCGATGCTTTAATGATAATGCAGAGGATTTTTGATTTGTACAGGGCTATCACCCGGTTTATAACTAGGTGATCATCTAGGCTATCAAATTTAGCCTCTAGACTTTTTCCAATTTTGATTTCTAGTGACTTTTCATGGATGATTGACACTATTTTGTGGTGATGTTTGGAAAACTATAAATAGGTGAAAGTTTTTCATAATCAAAATGTTTTTAATTAGGACTGGGCAAATCTCTCGAACTGAACAGATTTAACCGAACCTGACCTTACCCGACCCGAACCGAACCAAACTCGATGATTCTTGTCAAATTAAATACCCGAACATGTATCTGAATTGAGAATCGACGGGTACGGTTCGATTCTCGGTTCTAGACGAAGAATCGAGAAACCGAATCTTTCTAATTTTTTTTATATTAAATAAATTAAATTATTTTAATTTTAATTTTTTTAAACAAATTAACAATTTCTAAATCCAAATTTTTGGTCCAATAATTTGTTTCATTTCTAATTTTTAAATTTTCGGCCCAATTACCCATTTTATTGTTTCATTTCTTAGCCCAAAAAATATCCAACCCACTAAATAACCCTAAATACCTACACTAAAGTAAATAACGTTGTCTCGACTCTAAAACTCACTCTCGCAGTCTCGTTGACATTCCAAAACCTATACAATCGTCCGCTGACACTGTGACCTCCAATCGAAACTGTAACCTCCGCTGATCGAAATTTTGACCGTAGCAATCATTTGAACAAAGTAGTTTACTAATCTCTGACATTCCAAAACCATTGAATGTGTGATTAGTTGTATTTATATAATATTGTTATAAATGTTAAAAAGTTTTATTATAGTACGAAACCGAACGGAATCAAATCGAACCAAACTAAGTTAAATGGAACCGAACCCGAATGGTTCCATAGTTATATTTGAATCCGACGATTCCATTTACTAGATACCCGAAAATTTTGGTTCGGTTCTCTTTAGAATTGAACCGACCCGCGCCCACATCTATTTTTAACAATATAAAAGAACCACAAAAAGTATTCTCAATTCAATTCTTCATCACAAACAAATTTCTAGTATTCTTCAAGTTCTTGGAAGAAAAACACAAGTGTTTTGAGCCTTTAAAAATTAAAAAAAAAAAAAAAATTGATATAATCCTACAAACTATTTGTTGCTGAACCCAAAAAAAAAAAAAGAAAAAAAAAGAAAAAAAATTGATATAATCCTGCAAACTATTTGTTGTTGAACCTTTAAGCACTCAAATTATCCTATAGAAGCAAATATTATTTGAGGACAGCCAATTACGCGTTTTGCCTATTACTTCCTTATTAGTGTTCCTACTATCTTTGTTATCCTTCTTCGTTCTCTCGTTTTTACAACATCAAATTGTCAAATGTCCCTAATTTTTTGTGAAATAGTCTATGTAACGAGAAGCCATGACCACAGAATTCCAATCTTTGACAATTTCCAATTTGAACATTAATAATTTAATTGAAGGAACGAAACACGTGCCAAAAAAAATCAAAGCAGTGTATAGAAAGTTGAACACGAGAAAATAATTTTTAATTTAATTAATGTGGTAATTTTGTCGGGGAAGTTTGACTTGGTAGGCTAAGGTTTGGCTGACCCATGACATGGACTTTCCTTTAACACTGTCGACTAATTCCAAAAGTTAAAATCGTCTCTGTTTGACATTAATTTTTCAAAATTTATTCTTTTCAAACTTATTTTCATTCACATATTTTATATAAAGTCATAATTTTTATCAATTTTCAACAATGCAATTGATTTTTAGTTAAACCAAAGGTGCTTAACCTTTCAATACATAGGCACAGAAAATACAGTATATTTTTGTTTCGTGATTTTATTTCTTTTAGCTTTAAATTAATTTTTTGCTTCCCAATCATCTGTCCTACTAGAGTCAGCTGGTTCTGGTTGAAGCTCAAAATAGAGATGTCTAGGAATTATGACAACTGGGGAAGGCTGGTGGAAGCCGTGATGCGGCGAGAGAAGTATAAGGCACGAAAACGTGGCTGCACCAATGGCTTATTATTTTTCCAGAGATATGCTCATGATTTATGACTACCAAAATCAGGGAAGTGTTTCTGCTCTGCTACATGGTATGGAAAATGTTCTAACTTCTGTACAACTTGAGTCGGTCTTGATGCTCATGGCTTCATCATATTTTTCTATGCAGTTAAAGTGAATGATAGTCGAGTTTGATATGATTCATATAAGCATTCAGTACGCTGTCATATAGATTTTGAAGACGTGATAATTATTGATGCCTTGAATCCCCTATGCAGAAAACACAGTTGAAAACAAGCCAGACTGGGAAACACGTCTAAGAATTGCAAAAGGTGCGGCAAGAGGTATTGCTCATACGCACACACGACATCGCGGTAGGCTTGTTCATGGAAACATAAAAGCCTCGAATATTTTTCTCAACTCCGAAAAATATGGTTGTGTGTCTGATTTTGGCTTGGGAAGCGCGGAAGTAGCACCAGTTGTCATGTGCGCTACTGGATACCGTGCCCCGGAAGTGACAATTGCTGGGAAGGTTTCGCAAGCGTCTGATGTCTACAGCTTTGGAGTCTTGTTGCTTGAACTTCTCACTGGAAGATCCCCTATGAATGGAATCGGCGTTAAAAAGGTAGATTTAGTTAAATGGGTTCTTTCCTTGTTAGGTGAAGACAGGAGACTTGAAGTGTTTGAAAGTTTGGCTCTAAGTTTCCCCAATGAAGTGGAAAAGATGGTGAAGATGTTACGAGTGGCGATGAGTTGTGTGGCAGACAGTCCATACCATAGACCTACAATGCCTGATGTGTTGAAAATGATGGAGGACTTGTAAAAGTTCTGATGCAATATTAATGGCGCCACTCGAAGACTAAGGACTAACCATGGCTGGCATAGAATGGCGACTGGAATATTGCACTCTGCTAGTTATTCCAATTTACTGTTTTTATTTGACTTTGGTCTTCTAAATATGCAATGACATAAGAAAAAATTGCTATCTCTGAGTGTTTTACGATAAGTTAAATTTTTAATGAAAGCCATGTGAAGTATGGCAGGTACTCTTAATTGGAGATTTCTTATACAAGTGTGAAGTGGGGGTCACTTTTATGAGAATATTTTAAAGCTTGAATTCTCTAAAAAACTTAGGAAACCCAATATTTTTTTTCACAGTCAAAATAAAAACAATTGTGAGAACTCAAAAGTGTTACGAAAGTTATTGTGTAATATTGTACTAGTCAATTAAATTTGATAGCATTTGATTAAGGAATTTTCAAACTCATAGGCATCTCTTTCGATGTAAAAGCTTTTCGCTCGAACTCTCTTTAGTGTTTGCATACTATTTCGTATTAATTTTCATTCATGTGGAATATTGTTAAAAATTGATTCAAAATTGTTGTTTTAGACCAACATTGACCAACTGATTAAGCGAGACATGTGAGTTGATTACGGGAGTTTAAGATCGAAATTGTTCTACTTGGATAGTAGAATATTGTAGTATTTTTAGTTTCTTTAATCAATTTCGGGTAAATGAGAAATTATGGTGGAAATTGAGAGCTTAACAAGTAGAAATTTGGATTTATAGCATGGTTAAATATTCTATTAGTTTGGATATGACATGTCACAAAATATTTATCTATATTAATTTTTTTTCCCAACAGAAAAATGGACTCTCACACGTACATAACATAGAAAAGTTGACCATGTCACAAAGAATGATGGAAATGACATAGATTATATGTTGTCGAGTTGGTGAAAACACAAGTTATTCTACTGATACATGTTAATTAAGTTAATGAACATATATCTCAACGCTTGTAAATGTCATGTGCATCCTACAGTGTAAATAAGTTCCACTTATTAGTTTTAGGGACATAGATGGGTTGTTGCTTATAGTCATATTTATAGACATAATCTCACAAGGCCATTGATTACACCCAAAGTATAATGCGGTAGTTGCAATACAGTTTTGGGGTGTCATATCCACAGTGAGATAAGAAAATTACTCAAAGGATCAAAAGCTGGGGTTTTCATTGTGATTTGTGTAAAAACAATTTATCAATTTGAATGAATTGTAAGTATCGATGTGTGAAACAATGAAGCGCCGGAATTCCCTCGATTGGTTTGGATCAATCAACGTCAATTACGCAATCATATACTCAATTAAAGATATTTGTCCTAATATTTTAACTGGAGAATATATCATTAAAGCCCAATTTAAATCTATAGTTATTTTAAAATCCAGATTTCCTACAACACATTCCCACTTTAATCTATTGAAACAAGATCAAAAAACAAGCATATACATAAGGCATATAATGGTTAAGAATCACACCAATAAGATTGCATGAAATTGAAATTTAGCGAATAATTTAATTACACAATAGACAAAACATGATTGAATCTATGAGGAACTTAATAAACGTTAAACCAACCTCATAATAATGCTGGAATTGAAATTCAATAATTATTTTGATTAATCAATAGAAAAAGCTTGACAGAATCCATAACAAATCTATCTCATGAAAAGGGGAAATCCAAACCTTCAAATCATTTAACAATGAAAATTAGAATTACATGCATAAAAGGATGTTAAAATCACTGATACCAATCGAGTTTCTTTGTGACTTCACCGAATCCCTTAGTTCCTTATAGTGTTCTTGAGCCAAAAACCAGAGAAAATTATGCTTGGAAGGGAATAATGGCGTTCTGGGACGGAATAGGGTTCTAAAACTGTGCCTAAACCGCGTTTCCAAAAGTGGTTGCATCAAAATAGGAAATTGAAATTTTCACCTCAGAAATGAACCATGCGACCGCATAGTAGAAACTCATGCGGTCACATAGAACATCTCAATTGCTGCCTCAAAATCTCTAGAGCCCTCTATGCGGTCGCATGGTTTTTGAATTATGCGACCGCATAGTTCAAAATTTTTTTTCCACTGGACAGTTTTTAGTATTTTAGCTATAACTTTTCCTCCCGATGTTCGATTGAGGTGAATCGAGTTGTGTTGGAAAGCTAACTCAAAGGGCTACAATTTTATTTACATGTCATCTTTCAATTTTGATCATTTGACATGTCAAAAAGGGTTGGTGCGTAACTTTTTTTGATTGGGAATTGATGTGTGATCAAACTTTGACGATATTTCATTCATTTAACTTCTTTTCTCATCCACTTGACCTCTAACACTTTCGAATCTTCATCCTAAGGTTAGATACAAATTTGGAGTATTTGCATTTTAATCCCCGAACTTTCATTTTCTTCCACCTTGGTCCTTTTTTTGGCTCTTTTCTTCTAACTTCCGCCTTTTCTACCAAAATACAACTTGAATCAAAATATAAGTATAATGAGTTCATTTTGGTATCAAATAATCACACAAATGCAATAATTAAAAGGGAAAAATATAATATTTTACACTCTTATCACACCCCTAACTTGCTTATTGCTAGTCCATAGCAATTCAATACAGAACAGGCAAATGAATGATTAACTATGATACAAGTGAAATTATGGAGTTCCAACTTAATTGCAATTCATGTTCTTTCCAAACTCAACACCATAAGAACTTAACAATGCCATTATCATCAAGATATCAAAAGCACATGCCAAATGCGTGAGTGTGTGTCAAGCCATAGCCATCTTACCGCCCACCCTAACATATGCAACATCAAGTATGTCTCAAGCTAAAGATTCACCCTATAAGTCACGGGTATCAAAGTGTTTTAGTGCGGTTTTCTTTCTATGGAGCTGAGAAAGTGTATACACTCATAACTTGGAGGATTAAATATTTATGAATAAGCAACAAAAAAACATTGATATTGTGATGGCATACTACCAAATAAGAATTCATTCACTTCTTATCACAACCATACTTGGGATTAAAGCAATCAATGTAAAGGGTTGTAATGTAGTTTGAATTAAGCTATATGAAATGAGGGATTTAATGATTCAAAAACTTCCAAGCACATAGCCAAGTGTTGCATCAAGCCTTTCAATGGATCACATCAACACATTCTTCATTACTTTCAACTCCCAAAATCAATCAAAAAAATTTCTTTTTTTCTTCTTTGTTTTTTTTTATTTTGTTTTTATTTATTTATTTTTTTTTGAATGACCTTTCCTTCTTTTTCTTTAACTTTTATCACTTCACTTGAGCACTTATCAACTCTTATCATCTCCTTGCTCCTTTTCTTCACAGTTAAACCTCCAATACCTACTACACACTTGGAAGTGAAAAGATGAGCAAATACATGTATAGGTCTCACTCCAAAGTGGAGGGATAGGGATAGCACGAGTGCATGAAGAAAAATGTTGTACATGTGTGTGCATTGGCTAAAAGTGGCTACTAGAGGTTCATATTCGTGAAAGAAAATTGGCTTGAAAGGTTAAAATTCAATCCTAAATTGACTGTCATCATTTCCTAAGTAATCAACCATCATACCACAAACCATGTAACGTTATTCTTAAAAGAGTTTCCAATTCACAAAATCAATGAACGCCCATTGCCCTTTTAGTGTATTGTAGTTCTCAATCCTCACCAGCCCTCACATGAAAACTTTAGCAAGAATCTCTTCTAGCTACATGTGTTAAACCATTATCTTACCACAAGGCATGAGTACACAAAAATGATTCAACAAGTGTCTCAACATCTAAACTTTCATCAACAACATTAATTCCTGGTGGCATATTTTGTCATTCAAGAAAATAAACATGTAGCAAATTAAGGACTTAAAAAAAATTTAGATCAAAATTCGATAAAAGTATGCAATTCACAACAAAATTCAAGTTAACTCTTCCCCAACTAAATTTGCATTGTCCTCAATGCAAAAATATGTTTGCTAAATCAAGGTAGGGAAAGATGTCACCTGAATACTGAAGTGAATCAACCTAAGTTGAAGTAAAAGAAGCTTGAAAGTTCTCAACGGAAAATGTGATGCAGAAAATGAAAATAAACTAGAATGCAGTGAATAATGCATGTGATGCAGAGAAACCTAACAAATGCAGAAATGAGATAAAAGAAGGGAAAAGAACTCTCATTGGGTTGCCCTTCAAGCAGTGCCATTGTTTATTGTCATTGGCTCGACCCAATTTTTGTTTCTTTAGCCCACAACCAGCTAGGATGTTATCAACCTTCGGCGTATTGTACTAAACTTATTGGACCGGTGGTGTCCCATAATCCTGAAAATAATCAAAAGTAGCACAAATATCAGCATATTCTCCATTATCATGCCCTGCGAGAATTTTAGAATTTAAAGGGTCGGGGTCAATAAGCGCATGTGCTTCCTCCTCAAAGAGTGCATCAATCATGTATGTTTGATAGCACTCACCATTTTCCTAAGACTGTTTCGTGACGTGAAAGATGTTGACGTCCAAGGTTATGTTTCCAAAAAATAGTTTCATTAAACCATTCCTGCAATTGATAAGAGTGTTAGCTATAGCAAGAAAAGGTCTACCAAGAATATTGGGAATCTTGGAGTTAACATTCACATCTACTTTCACATCCAAAACCAAAAAATCCACAGGGTAGCAAAATTTGTCAATTTGTATTAGCACATCCTCAACTACCCCTAGACCTAATAGTGGACCAATCAGCTAATTGTAGGACCATTGTAGTAGGTTTGATCTCACCTAGGCCCAACGCTGAGTATATAGTATAAGGCATGATGTTGACACTAACCCCTAAGTAAGAAGAGCTTGTGAAATCAAATGGTTCCTTATGCCACAAGATACAATAGGACAACCAGGGTCCTTATACTTTGGTGAGATCCTCTGCTCTATCATAGCACTCACTTGCTCGGTCAAGAAAGCAGTCTTCTTGACATGGTGCTTCCTTTTCTACAGTAGACAAGTCCTTAAGGACTTTAGCATATTTGGGGACCTGGAAGATCACATGTAGGAGACGCAGATTGATTTTTACTTATTTTAGGTGCTCTAGGATTTTACTATGTTGGCCGATAGATTTTGAGGTAGACTTGAGAGCTTGAGAGTAAGGCACTCTAGAGGGATTTTTCACAACCTCCTCACTATAGATACTCTCTTCTGAATTGCTAAGGTCCTTTTCATCTTCCATAGGTTTGGGAGTTGGTTCAATAACCTTACCAAACCGAGTGGTTATGGCATTTACTTCTCTAAGATTGCTTTCTCCGGACCCTGAAGTTTGTACCATGTGTTGCCCTCTAGGGTTCGGTTGAGCTTGTGGTGGAAATTTTTCCTGCTCCC